ATTTAACATTTAGCAGATCTCTCGGTCTCGTGGACTACGAGCTCATAGCTCATTCGACCCTGGTATTAACATACTAGTTGGACAAAAAATAAATTATTTTATTTTATTTTAAGCTGTCGCTTTTCGCTAGTCGAGGATTTTTGAAAATAGACCCCGAGTAGCGTAGCCAATGAGAACGAAGGATTTTCAAAAGCCAACTAATATGGAAATGATAATGGTAAATAGTTTMATTACAGTCTGATGAAACAAATCATATCTCTGTGACCTTTCTCAATGCATTRTCAACATGATGTCAATCACGTGCARAMTTATGTGGCGTGGTACCGTTTCCGTGGTGTRATCTGTGKTGTGATCCACGTTGAAGCCTCTTACAGAACATTTCAACTTGTCATTGTTATTGTTATTTTGACAATGCCAATGTTTCACGAGATCTGATAGAGTGGTTTTCCGTCAACCATGAAAAGAAATAGACCAACTAGTTAGTAGCAATTAGTAATAGTCAATGTAACTTTTAGACATACACCTACTTGCAGAAACGTTGTCATAGAAAATAGAACATTCGAATTTAGTAAAAAGGAATAAATTAAAACAAAACAAAAGAAAGCGTTCAGCCTCAGTGATCTTCTTTTGTCTTTTTAATTTATTNTTTCTCTATATATTAGAAGTGAAAAAGTATTTTACACCATAATTTGCTTTCATATATAACTATATGATAAACAGAATATTGCATGGTCGAATGGAGATACGGATGTTATCTTCTCGTGTACGCGTGTACGCGTGTATCACTCGAAGATGAAAATCCGTATCACCTCTAACCTCTATTTGTACTATCGATGCAAACAACACTAACGAAAAGGGGATCRAAACGTTGCATGTAGCAAGGTTTCATGCTCCGCCGAAATATTCAAATTGATTAGCATAATACSATATTTGGTGATCAAACTTCCAAGTCATAATAGCCAAGGGAACTAGAAATCAAAWATTTTCTAATTTGCAGTGTTTCTGTGCATATTTTATGACTTTTGTTTAGTTTTTTTAGTATTTTGAAAGCGTGAAGATATCAGATTTGATCGAGAAAAMGTTTTCAATCAACAAATCGAACATTCTTGAACATGGAACACAAGAAACAAACGGGGGTTCACGTTTCAATCCAAGTATAAGTTTCTTATATACTCTTTCAAACCATTCTATATCATAACTTAGTGATCGTTTAGCTTTTATTGGGAGAGGTGAGCTGGTGGTTTTTGAAACTTTCTAGAAACAAAAAACATCCCCCCTAATTGGATACACTCTCTTGATTCTTAGGAAATGTGTTGTATTGAATACACAAAGTAATATAGGTAATAATTTTGCATGGTCCCCCTTTAACATGTTTTTGGATTGGATGTCCCACCCCGCCTCAATGACACCAGCCCCTCTCCTGATAATAGTTTCATACAGTAAGCCACAGATGTTACTCTCCTATTTGTATTATGTGTTGAAACACCATTTTGATAATTTCTTTGTATAACTCTTGTTTTGTTTTCAAATTACTGCAACGTAGAAAGTATGGTTTAATAATTTAAAACACACGACAAACTTCAATTATACTCTGGTTATGTAATACAAAGTACTCACAGTTTTCTATTACATTACAGGCCTTGGAAAACTTAATTTCCGAACCTAGAAAAAATGGGATGGAAGCATGAAAACCTGATRCTATATTTSCTTCATCTCAYGSTTTTGCAGTGTTTGCTTTGGAGAAAYGGTGAGTTATTTAGATAAAAAATATATCGAGAGTTAATCGGATTTCCTAACAGGTGTATGTTTAATAAGCTTTATATAAATTTTCCTCTAGTGGGCATTATCTTTTCTTCGGTGTTTGTCTCTCTTCTCCTCTGATTTCATCTTCTAAATCACCTTCAATTAATTCTTATTTCCTCATGCGTATGTTCTAGTTTTGCTATTTATGCTACTTTTGTAAGTATCGAGACAGAGTAATAATATAGCAAATACGGCCAGATACCGCTTGTAAAAATTTAAGTTTAGATGAAGCCAAACTTTCGCTGTTCTACAGCATCATCAAGACATGCTGTTGAAGGAACTTCTCAAGGAACTTCTCAAGGTTATCGAGAGCGATTTCGTGTCGTTGTGTTTGGTGTGCATGCTTTCTTATTCGCATGGTTTTGCTGTCTTTTCAATTCATTACACTTTGTTTCTTCATGTTAATTTTCTAATTGTTCCATTATTGTTTGCTTTTCTCTTTTCCATCATCCTCCATATATTGGTCTAGTTTTTTTTTCACCCTTGTCATTTCGTCTTCGTGTTATATATCTTCTGTTTCATTGTATTCCTTTTTCTTTATCTTCGTCGCTGTTGGTTTTCGTCTCTGAACATCCTTTTTTAATCATTTTTTTTTATTATATTTTGTTCTGTTCTTTGTTGTTGTTTTTTCATCCTTCACTTGCCCTTTATTTTGATCTGTTTTACAAACTTTATTTCGTTTGGCATCATGTCTTTTTATTACTCAGTTTTTAGCTTATTCATCCTTTTTTCTCCAATTTCCTTCATCATATGGTCACTTTTTCTCCTTCTTCTTGGTCTTCATACCCATCATCCTCTAGATCTCCTACTTGATCCTYTCGGCATCATTTACTTTGCGATTTTCTTTTTGCCTTATTTACTTTTTCTTCGTCAACTCTGTCGTCTTTTTCTTGTTCTTCCTTTTGATTTTCGTTGTCGTCATCTTTTTATTAGCATCTTCGCGATATTCTTTGATCTTTATTTCTTCTTCTCCCTTGTTATGTTCTCCTTATATATCTCTTCYTTTTCCACTTAAACTCCTCTTGTTTTTAACTTGTTTTCTCCCTAAGTGGTCTTGCCCGCATTGCCTTTATACCCTCGGCAAACTTTTTTTCTTTTAGAAACCCTTCCTCGATCACCGAAATTATCTCAACCTTAGTTCTATTTGGTAAAAATGTTAACACAGTTGTTCCATCAAATAGTTATTCATTTAATGTAGACATACATAAAAGCGTGATTTGAAAATACTTAAAAAATTCATAAAAAAATTCAAGTTTACTATATTGTTTGAGATCCTTAGAATTTTGTAATAAATTATTCAAAAGCATCAAAAGTTAAAGGGACACTGTCAATGGATGACATGCGCGAGTAAACTTGAAAACACTAGGCTAGTGTTTTCAAGTTTATGACTCCAAGTTGGCGCGCGACATAAATCAGCTCGTAAACGTAAACAGATCTAGAATATTCCAAAGTGTTTCAAAAGCACCACAAAATGATTTACCTCGAAGGTTATACCAAGTCCGTTAGAGGTGAGACTGTTACTGCGCATGTCATCCATTGACAGTGTCCCTTTAAGGGAACTATGTAGAAATTCAGAAAATGCCTCAGGCGGAGATTTTCAATTATGAAATATTGGCGCTAGACCACGCGCACATCACAGTAACTTTTTTTAAGTGATTGAGTTCTAATATAACTGTYCGTGGTTGAAGTTCATATAGATTCAGATGCAAATCGATTGGTACTAGTACATTCAAATAAAATAATACTTTTTTCTTTGTTTGAGAGGAAAATTCAATTACATTGTACTACTCCTGAGGAGATCAATTAAGTCGTCATGAAAATTTTAAAAGAAACATATTTTGTATTTTCAAATTAATTTAATTTAATTTAAAATAATTTTCAAACTCGTCTATTTTCGGTGTATTTTAGTTTCTATCACCAAAATTATGCAATGAAAACCAACAYCAAAGAAAAAACTCAAATGAACGCTAATCCTGGTCGCAACGTGTCTTTTATATTAGATAATATTATAAAATTTTGTTTCACTGAACATACTATAGAAAAAAACGCATAAATACTCAATTTTCGAATTCAAAGCGAACAACCGCTGTATTATTTGACAGCAGATTCCCTTACGCAAAGAACGTATTAAACACAAAAGAGAAAAAAAAAAGAAATTGTTGTTAGTACAATAGTGCTAATTAACAATTTACATTTTCCCCGAGTTCAGGCTAACCTTGTATTTCCAGAAGTATCATAGCTTAGGTCTCAGGGGAATTCCAGGGTTAGTCTCAACTCGGGGAAARCGCAAATTTTCAAGGCTATTGTAATAACGACAATTTCTCGTGCTCTCTTTTGTGTTTGGTCAGATCTTTGAGCAAGAGAATCTGTTGTCAAATAAAGCAGGGGTTTCTCGCTATGAATTTGCAACTGGAGCATTGTACTCAAGGTCGTGCGATTTCCTATGCTAACCATTTCATCTGGATTGCAATAATAATAATTGACATTATATCATCAGTGAATAGCGCTGAGTGTGGACAAGAGCTGGACTTCAAGAGCCTAAGAAAATCAGGCAAGTAAAGGGAGTTAACTAGTTATATTTTGGTAATATTTCATTTTAATCATCTTCATATACTGATAAAAATAATATAGTATTCATATTTTTTTCTCTCAAATTGCGAAGATGTCATCTTCCATTTTGAGGGATTGCTTATACAAAGCGTGCCCCCCGATCTCCTGAAAAAAGAAACCACTATTTATAATCCGGCCCTAATATGTTTTAGGAATAAGTTTGCTTTGAAAATAGCTAGATATCCACAATTTGCTCTGATAATCCGGTCTTTTAACTGCAGGTTGCCTCAAAGGTTCCAAAATAAGAAGAGTCGCGTTTACTGAAAGCATCGCTGGCTACATCATTGAGGGACCTGTCATGTCAAGYATCACTACAGATAACGAAAGGGAATGTGAACAAGCTTGCTTCCTTGCCAAAAACAGCACGTGTTCCACGTTTAATTATTGTCCAGGTGAAAAAAAGTGTGAGCTCCTGTACAACAATCGTGGCCCAGGAGATTATTCTGTGAAAAAAGAGATGGAATGCAGTTTTGGGACGCACCAGGTAAACCAGTACTATTATATATTTATCTATTATATTTAACAATTAGACCTCGAGGTCGAGTGGACTACTATCTAATATAGCCCATGAGGCCGAGTCCGCGAGTCCGCTATTAGCTCGTAGTCCACGAGTCCGAGAGGTCTGATTGTTTTAGTATAAACATACTAATCGGTCAAATAATGAAAACAAATTGAAATATCCTTAAAGCAATCTATAATTTATGATTTATTTATTTTGATTTTCCCGCGAGTGGTCTATCACAAATTAGACCATTAGTAGAGTAGCCAATCACAGCGCAGTATGAGTGATAGACCATTAATATGTTTATACTAAAATGATATACACCTACTTGCAGAAACGTTGTCATAGGAAATAGGACATTTGTATTTTAGTAAAAAGGAATAAATTAAAAAGACAAACGAAGATCACTGATGCTGAACGCTTTCTTTTGTCTTGTTTTAATTAATTCATTTTTACTAAATTCAAATGTTCTATTTTCTATGCCAACGTTTCTGCAAGTAGGTGTATATAATAATATTTCTCCATTTTGTAAAGTTGTTCTATCGAGGTTTCTCTATATAGTGGAAGTAAGAAAAAAGCGATTTTACGACATAATTTGCTTTCATATGTAATTATATGATGCTGCATGATCACTTTGAGATACGAATTTTATCTTCTCGGGCAGTTGAAAATCTCTCACTCGTTCGCTATACGTGAGGAGAGATCGTTTCAGCACGAGAAGATAAAATCCGTATCCCCACGCGCCCATGTAATATCCTCTATATATACAATGTTGGGAATGCCCGGCTGAATACCAAATTTCGACGCAGAAAAGTGTAATCAAGGACCGAAATGCACTGTTGGCTGCTCCATCGACACGTCTYCGTCAATTAATTTCTCAGTGTGCCTGTATCAGCACCGTCAACAACTTCAACGTCAAGTAATTTTTCTTTTGTATAACGAAGCTAACGAGGATTTTAATGATTGTTGTTTTCAACAGTGCAAAAACAAAAAATGCGAAGAAGGCTACTGCTATTTAATTGGAGACGAAAAGAGATGTGTCTGCAAACAAGGATATAAAGGAGAGACTTGTAATGAAAGTGAATAAAACATTACGTTGAGGTTTTGTATGGTATAGCATGTTTTAAGATTGACGGAGAGCACCCGGGAAACAAAGTGCACTAAAACTAACATTATTATCACTCACATTTACCAGTTGTAAATGTAGTTTATTATTTCACCGATTTAGATGTTTTTTATGTTTATTGGATTAATAAAACAGAGTTTTCTTTTCAATAGTGCATGGATCATTATAAATGCCATTTCTCCGGTTGCACGTTGCGTCATCGCTAAGTTTTCGTCATTAGTTTTACTTGTTCAGTCATCCAATATGGCGGCGAAGGCTTTGTTCTATATTTCTCGAGGGATTCTTGATCATGTGGTTGAAACCCAAGAATTACCGTATCACACATTTTCATGAAAAATATTTCTTATTGGAAAACGATCTCCTCTCAGCATTGCTCGCAGCAATGTTGTAGAAAAGCTAAGGAATTTGTTGTGTAAAAAGATCAAATTAAACACCCTAAAAGAGTAGGAGAAGCTGTAACTTACTGACGTTTCGGACGTTAATACTTCGTCGGGAGTTTTACTCCGACTAAGGATTAACGTCCGGAACGTCAGTAAGTTACTTCTCCTACTTTTTTAAGGTGTTTAATTTGATCTTTTTACACAACTGTTTCTTTAGAAACACCGACGCAGCTCACACACTAGTTTACCGCTAGTTCCCACCATTATAAGGAATTTGTTGCCTGTATTTCTGCTGCACATACCAGTCCGATAGAATACATTAAAAGAAATAGTTGTGTAAAAAAGATAAGTCAGTAAGTTATTTCCCATACTTTTTTACTGTGTTAAACCTATCTTTTTTACACAACTGTTTCTTAAACACAGACGCAGCTCAAACTAGTTTACCGCTAGTTCCCACCATTTTATTAAAAGAAATACACGGATTTATGGATTCACTTGAAGAAATGATATTCATTGAGGGAAAAAAAGGCATTTTTATTATTTCTTCGCTTGGATAAACTGTCTAATGGTGTCTTGTTGTTGATCCTTATCATCTGCTGCTCTTGACGAAAAATCATTCGCTTCTTGAGAATACAACACCTGTGCCACGGCAGGGTCTCGGCAGGAAGTTTGCGTGTTTGTGTTTTATTGGTTGTTTTTGTTGCTGTTTGTTTTTGTTGCTGTTTGTTTTTGTTTGTTTGTTGTTGTTGCTGTTCTGGTTTATTTTATTATTATGTTTACGAAATCTTCTCTACTTGAATGCGCTTCATAATTTAAAATGATCTATCTTGGAGGTCCGAAAACATAAAAAACATAAAAAAAGCAAATGTGGCTAAAAAATAGATTTAATTACATTTCCTCTTTGTTCTTTATCTCAATCTTGTAAATTATAGATATTATATCATGTCAGTGAAACAATTAGCTTCAGATTCACTGAAGTTTTTGTAGTAATACAATGGTACAGGTGATATAAATGCCTTTCTTTAATTTGTTTGTTTTTTGGAGTTTTGTTACATTAAAACGTGACTATAAGTACACGTGAAATTCAAATACTTTTAACTAATAATAAACTGACGTCGACTACTAAAGCATCAATAAGGCTTCTTTGGAGAACGGCGATTTCCTAAAGATCAACGAAGATGGAAAGGGCAACCAAAAACCTAATATCATCGTTCATCATCCAGCTTTTGACCTTGCAGTCTTTGTGGATAAATGGTGAGTACTGGATGCGTTATCTGAAATCATCGTATTTCTTTATTACATGCCAATTTTCATCGTAAAATTAGTAAATTTATCTTAAAACAATATTTTCATCCCGATGCTTTTTGATCGGATGATAGGTTCTTTCACGATTAATACGATTTTAATAATGCTTTTTATGGTGGTGGTGGTGGTGGTGGTGTTGGGTGCTAATCGTCCTTCATGGCAGCACGGGTGCTGAATTGCGAAAGACGCAGCTCGACGCGCTTTCAAGTCGAAGTGCTATATTACAGACACATTTTACATGTACACTTACACATAGGCGTGCTGCCGGCTAGGCGCTTCCTTTACATAGCAACGAACGACTGAACGCGGAGCACAGCAGATAGAAATTGTTCGTTTTTACTTTTTATCTTGTCGACCTTGTTTGGTTTTGTCATTATTTTTATATGTTGTTGTTCCATCCAAAATATGTCGACACTTATGAGATTTGCTTTTCAGTAAGCACTGATAAATGTGGACCAGAGCTTAACATGAGGAATTCAGGTAAGCTAAACATTAAGATTTCAGGTTCGCTTTAATCAAGAGGGAGACGATGGGTTCCTGGTAGAAATATATCTGTTCCAGCAAGCTGTAAGTCACAACTTGTTGCCAGCAAAATTGTTAATACATTCAAAAATATTGTTGGAAAGGAATAGGCTGTAGGAATTTTCCCAGGAAAACTCTTCACGACCTTTTCAGGAAGGAAAACCCCAAATATCTCTTAAAATACACAAGTGCTTTAGCGGCTGTAAGGGAGAGTTTTTATCCAATTTGAAACTCTAGCTAAATCTAAAATCCCTTTTCCCAGTGAAAGATCGTATAAGAACAGTTATTTAGAAGAGCAAACTGGTCGGGTCCTCCTGTTTAATCCGTCAGATTTTGTGGAAATTTTACCCTATGTGTATTCACATAATCACAGAGCAAGAAGGCATAACAACGTGAGTACTTTTTTCGAGCCTGTAAAGTATGATAATTTTCGAAACATAACAAAAGCACGCGACAGGGACGACAGTTGGAGATGTCACTTTTCATTGTCATGACAGATCCAGAACGTTGCAACAGACTGAACGGACGCTGTCTAACAATAAATAAAAATTTAATAATGGAAGATTTGCATAGTGTAAGATTTAGTGCTGGACAATATGAAATTTCTTTTAGATGTGAACTCTGTTTAGACTTTTTTTTCTTCAGAAAGTCTCATTCAGATTCAGATTCTTTTCTTCATATAAATATCATAATATTTTAAGCTGGGGGGCGAACTTTTCTTGAAGGTGGTGTTTTTAGATATCCCTCCCAGTTTTACTTATTCTTTGCTTCATTTATTCGACAATTTCTATTTCTACTCTTCTATTGTTTGAGGGCGACGASCTTACAAACTAATGGTGTTCTTTTTTTTTCAAAGTCCCATCCAGATTTATTTCGTCTTTCAGTCTTCTCCACGATTTCTATTATTTCTACTGTTCTATTTTTGGAGGGGAATGTCCTTGCAAATTGATGGTGGTGTTGCTTAGTTGCATTACGCCTACAGGAAACCCAGAGGAATGATGACAATTTTTTGATATCTGTAGAGCAATGCATTTTAGGATCCAAAATCAGGAGAGTTGCATTCAGTGAAAGTATTGCAGGTCACATCATTGTCGGTCCTGTCCTGTCAAGCATCACTACAGAGAGCGAGAGGGAATGTGAACAAGCTTGTTTCCTGTCAAAACCAGTCCCYTGCTCCATTTTCAATTATTGCCCAGTACGAAGAAAGTGTGAGCTTCTGTACAAGAATCGTAACCCTGTAAAGTACCATGAAGAGAAAGAAGAAGATTGTATTTTTAGGACGCATGAGGTAAGCCAATCACTTGAAGCGAAGGTATCTGGTTTAGATAGTTTATGAGTACAATTCAATCAATAAAGCCTTAGTTATTTAGGGTAATATATAAAATACAAGCAGGAGATCTTTATGTATAATTTAAAACACAAGAGAAAGTTTTTATCCAATTTTCTTGCCTCAATTATCTAGACTTGACCTTTTAAACTATWTATTTTCAACACAGTGCACCTACAATCCATGTGGAGAAGGAGGATATTGCTATTCTATTAGAGAACAGCCCAAGTGCTCCTGCAAAGCGGGATTCAATGGCACATATTGTGACAAAAGGCTATTGTGATTTTACCAAGGAAACAGTGTTCCGTATTTGGTTTGGACAATATCTCTTTATTGACGAGTGAGAGCAAYAACACTGGGACAACTTGTGAAATGATGCACTTTATTTACGACTAAAACTAAGGTGTTTTGAATTAGAATCATGAYAATGCTACCAATAAACCTTCTCGCATAATTTTGCTTTGAATAACCATATGAAAAAGGGCGTGGCTATCGTAGTTTATAAGATTTTGGTAGGTACGATCGACGGAGCTTATTTCTAAAATTAAACCCTTGCCTACCTTTAGGGTCCTAGATTAACTAGATTTTATTAACCTCAGCAACCATCGACGACAGTGATTTTCTAAAGTTTGTTAAACTTGAGCTTTTCTTTTGTTAAAGACGTTAAAAAAATGGGGTCTGAAATCGACCTGAATTGATTTATGCGTACCTTCAATAGGGTCATTTTTCAATCCGTCCGTCGAGAGTACCTACCAACTTTTATAACGGAGCCTCATAACTACTCATCGGGACTATCTTTACTCTACAACCGGGCGGGCTTCCTTTGGCTAGACGCGGGCAGGCTTGGATTATTTGTTCCCTCTTGGAGAGACAGAGAGACCTCTGCTTGTTATCAAAGTCATGCATTTATTAAGTGTCGTCAAAAGTCTAGGATGTGCTCTCGATCGAGCTAGAATTTAATTTAAACAGTCAAAGTAACGCTATTGTATTTACACAAACTTAATATTGAAGAATAATTTTTCATGTGCTCAACTTAAAAGGAGCAATTTATACATAAAATACTCAGCAAAACACTTTGAATATGATCCATTGATTTATTGCTACAGAACTGTTTCGTTCACTGCGCTAATCAGTTCAGTTGACCTGGAGGACAAACAGTGCGGGATAAGGAGTCCTATGAAAATAAGCAACATACGTCTAATGCCATAAACAATTTCTTATCTTGGGTGCTACAGGAAATACTTGGAATTTTTAAACAGATACTATTTTGAAAATAAGTAAAAGCGATTAAAAATGAAACAAGAGTCAGTTGGATCCAGAAAACCGCCTGGAAAAATACAATCAAAAAAATATTAATCAACCACATGTCGCCACGACATAAAGCACTTGGTAAGACTTAAAACCAGTGAAATGTAAATTTGAATACAATTAGAAACTGATTTCGAAGAACTCCATTGTGTAAAGAAATTGATATCTTATTTTGTCTGCACGAAAGCTTTGTATGATTTGTAAGATAATATCATGCCAAGATTAGAAAGCACGCACGAACTTGTTTCAGAAACGATAATGGAAATCGCTTCAGTGACTCAAATATCTCAAATATAG